GGGTGGAGAAGAGGATGACAATCTATTGCTATCTCTTTGGGCTGAATGACGTCCCAGAATATGGCCACACTCCAGACATCATTTTATTCTTACTTCACCTATGAAGGTCACTTGGTTGCACGTGAGCTTGTTCCCAACTGAGAAAATCAAAGATATATTGAATTTGCCTCGTCCAAGGTGCCAGCTGCAAGGGTGCAATAGGAGTCAAAACAAAGGAGTTAGTTGAGTTTCACATGAACCTTCTCTAGTTCAAGAAAGCCCATGTGCTGTGACATCAGGTCCCCAGATGAGGAGCTGGCGGCAGGAACAATAACTCAGCCAGCGCTTTGGCTGGGGCCCCAGGTTAGCTTGCTCCCTCCCTTAAGAAGGATGCAGAATGGGTAAAACACAAAACACATTTGGGGATGATCCTTGCTGTTCTCTTTGATCAATAACTGGAAATGATAGCAGGAATTTCACTGCATTCTTTTTGTCTTCCTAACTGGGGGCTGAGATGAGAGGCATACAAAGGGCTTTGTGTCCTACTGTTATTGCTGTTATCTGAACATCTCGGTATCAGAAGGCAAGTCTTTCCATGGAGTCCCCAGATCAAATGGGGAATTTTTGTGGCCTGCAGTAGGTTTAGATGGGCAAGTTCTCCAGCTCTATACTAGCCTTTTTTGAATAGTCTAGTGCCTCTGAGCTGGAAGATGTGTCATGTTAGTGCAATGTTCACACTTTTCAATCAAAGAGATGCTGGAATTTCTTGTTCCCTTGAGGTGGAAGGCCAGAAGGCTTTGACCTAAAAATTGCTTTCTGCTGCTAATAACAACCTCCCTCTCAAGGGAGTGTGCTTATGGACAGGCATCAACGTTAAGCAACGATCCTGTTTTGTTTTCTGTACTCTTCTGAGCTTTTATTAGAGTTTGTTGTGTACTCAGAAAGGGAGGAAGAGATTTTTCTGGAAGGTCATTCCATTAAAAAGATGAATGTAGAGATAGTTGAGGCCTGAAAGTAAGGCTTGTAAACAATGATGCTTTAAATGGTCCTTTTAATTCTTTATGGTGCTCCAAAATGGCTATTACCTCATTCAACTAGGCAGAGAAAAAAAATGAAACAAAATGGTTTGCCTAAGGTCATGCAGGATAACAGTGGCAAAACAAGGAGGGCTAGCGTGCAATGGAATATGTGGTAGGGCGAGGGATAGCCCAAGTGCTTTGTTGCCTCAGGCAAAGGACAAGATGTTCACACCACCAGTTCATTTGTATACAGAACCTGATCAGTCTGACAGCTGAATTTTACTAGCAATAGTGACAGGACACTCTGTTTTGCTGTGCCAGAGGGCAGTGGAGTGGCTTAGTGGATTCAGGGCGCTTTGCTTGGCACACGGAATCCTGGCCTTCAATGCCTCATCGCTTGTCATTTCCCACTATTTGCTCCCTGATTGCTTAGACAAATGGCATGATACAGCACCAACAGCATGTGCCACCTATATAAATTGCAGTGGCTGCTTCTTAGCCTTCTCAGTCAGGACCAAATTCAGTTTTTAAGAAGAATGAGTATTTGTTACAATTAGCCTACTTTAGGATTTTCTCAAAGATAATGCTTTAGTAATCTGACTTGCAAATTAAACCTGTGTTTACCTTCCAGACAACATTTACAAAACAAGAAGCACTAAACATAAGACACATATGTGCACAAAATCACATGTTGTGGCAAACAGGAGTGTATTCATCATCACTTACGGGAGCAACTCTTTTCAACCTACACTAAATTTACTGATGAGTTGGACTCTCAGACAGAGGCTGTTCAGAATCATGTTGTCTGTGAATTACTGAGAGAAGGTGAACTAGATGAGTTGGCTGGCCAGCGAAGCCCAGACTAGCAAGAAGCAAGCCTCCCTGGCCTCTGGGCTCTTAGTTCAGGAAGGTGGAAGAGGCCAGCAATACATGTCGGACAGCTGTGAGGTGGAAGAAGCCTTCTTATTCTGCCCAAGGCAAGGGACACCACTGGGTGGAGCCAGGAACTGTAAGAAGTAGAGATGGGCACAAACTCAGAGTTTGGTGGAGGTTCATTTCTTGGTCAAACAGGCGTTCACTGGTTACCAGCCTGCCTCCTTTGGTGGGTGCCCACTCAGAGAAAGTGCAACCAGCTTCTTTGCTCTGTCTCCTCCAGGCTCTTCCCCTGAGTGGGCACCCACCAGAGGAGGCAGGGCTGGGAACAGCAGAAAATGTTTTTGGCTGAGAAACAAACTGGCACAAAACACCAAAACAGCTGTTTGTGCCTATCTCTAGTGAGAAGTTCATATGGCCTGGGATTAAGGTAGAAACTGGTGGGAAAAGGAATGAAAAAAGTGGTGAGAGCATGTCCTGTGGGTGACATGCCACCCCATCTGTTTTGCATCCTGCTTCCCCATAACCAATTACCTGCTGTAATATCAAATTTTGGCAGCATCAGAGGCGTAAATAAGCCATCGATTTACCTGTACAGTCAGACATTTCAGCCTTAAACAAGCAATGTCTCCCTGAATGCCTCATTTTAGAAGTAAGCTATGCTTTCAAAAAGTGTTGCTGCCATGGATGTACTGCCACAACTCAGCACTGATGGAGATGGGGGTATGATTCTCAGTGGGTTCAGAAAAGCATTGTGACCTTTACTCTCAGAAGCTGCCCACATTGAAGCACTGAGGAGATGCTTCAGGAAGAAAAAGCTGCCTGTGGGAAGTGGGTGTGATATTAGTAGTGAGGAAAGACAGTGGGTGCTAGTATTGGTGAGGAAAAGAGCTTGGCCCATGTCTGGAGTAGCCTTAGGATCTTAAACTGCCATGCAAGAAACAAAAACAAAAACAAAACAAAACAAAACTGTGGCGTAGGAAACTTGGCTTTACCTTAACTTCCAGAACACATTCAGCTTCAAGATATACTGTGGCTGGTAGTCATAATAAATATGTCAATCTGTTTCTGCTTCACATCAGTGGATAATAGTTTCTTTTCTCTCTCTTTTCTTTTCTAATGATCATCACTGCACCTTTGCTGTTAAGTGTAACTGACACCCAGGGGATAAATCAAAACGTTGAAATTTATGGAGCTTAGCCTCCTTGTATTATGAAATTCTGAATTCCTGTTATGAAATTCTAAATTCCAGACATAGGTATTAACCTGAAATCAACCCCAGCTGGCCCATAAGAGCCTGTGGGGTTTCATTCACCATTGAGTTTAAATGGCTCACCTTTCGGTCAGAAACTCCATCACACATTATTTCTTTTTTATGCTTCTGCTCAGTGGAGGGCTATATTTCACAGGAAGAGTGCATGCTTTGCATATAGGAGGTCCTATGCGCTGTCCCTGGTATCTCCTAGCATGCCTAGGAAAAACATCTGCCCCAAACACCTACATAGCTGCTACCAACCATGCAGGGCACTGGTGTGATTGGAAGAAAATCTCTTTTTAAAAAACCCTGCTAGGTTGCAGGGTTTTAAAGAATATTTTCTAATATTCTAATATTCTAATATATACAAATGCTCTGCACTAAAAGAAGGTGCCAGCCAGCCAGTCACCTAGCTAGCAAGCAAGACAGCTAGATTTTCTTCTTGCTTATAGCCTACATCAGTGGTGCTTTCTCTATAAGAGTCAATAGTCCTTAGCCATTCTATGGTGACAGTTCAATTTTGAATCTGCCTTGGTTCTGTGACAAACTCCTCTCTCTATGCCTGCTGTCTCATCTAAATTGTCCTGGCAAAAGTACATCTTTTAAGGCATTTGCAAGCTTTTCTGCATACTCATAATTTTTCCTTTCAAAATGTTCCATCTCCAACTCATAACATGTGTCTAATCCCACTCCCTTTCCCAACACTAGGTCTATGGCTTTTCCAACTGAGAGTTTTTCTCAACAGCATTTAGTTGTCCACCAGCATGTTAATATCCTGCCAGGTTGGCTAACAGTCTGATTTAAAGCTGCTTGTAGAGTTGTGTTCTGCATTTTTAAAATGGTGTTAATTTGAGTAAAGACTACTTCAGTCAGTACATCACTCCTGAGAGAGGGCTGTGATTAACTATGAGTGTCCTTGATCTTCACCTAGTAGACATAAGGTCTCCAAAACAGATGGATAAGCTAGCAGTTCTTTGGCAACGTCTTCTAATCTTGCAATATTTTGTTCAGCACCTTATGCAAAGACCAATGCTCTTCCTGTGCTATTCTTATGAGCTGCACAGGGACCCAAGTAGAAGCACTTTATCTTCACCCACCCTTGCCTTGGCTACTAGTTGATTATCAGTGCTGGGGAGGAGATTCCTCCTTAGGGGTTCTGTAGAGACGTTGTAGAGGGTTTGTAAGGCTTTGTTCAAGTCTCCATGTGAGCTGCTTTGCACTTGCTCTTTATCCACAGAATGAGGTCCTTGAAGGGGTCAGAGTAGCATTTTGGGGGGATCATTTGCTTAAGAAGCACCCTCACCATGTGGTTGTGTATTTAATACCTTGACGATGTCTGATTTTATTGATTGATGTCGCTGGCAACTCACAAGCCTTCCATTTGTTACCTGGTAGCCAACCTTCTGGTGATGAGCTTCTTTGTACTGTCATTCCTGGGTGATGACAGCCACAAAATCTATCCCCGGAGCCTTACCATTCTGGCAGAAACTCAGTGGGCATAATCTTCATTCATCCTTTCTTCCCCAAGGAGGATTTCATGTTGGCTTTCACACATCTTGATGTGGTATGTAGCTCAGCAAGCTTCCACTGGTATGAATTTGCTCCAGGTCCATAAAGTAAATAGGAAACTAGGAGTTTTCAGATGAGATTTTTTTGCCTCCCTCCCCCCGTGTTATCATTGTACAAATATTGTTTCTCTCAAAGCAGGATGAAAATTCTGATCGTGAATTGTGAAGCTTATTGTGCAGTAACATCGCCATTCTGTCAAGCTTCCTTATAAAATATCCGAATAACTAATGTCCCCTGTTAATGCATCAATTTGATTTTCTTTCTTTTTCTTTCCCTTTCAAGGACTGTGGACAAAGGAAAAAGGGGAATTTCCACCCCATCTTCTCATGAGAAGTTATGCAAAGCCTGGAGCCCTCCTTTAGTTGTGTGGTTGCAGTATTCCAAGAGGCTGACAAAGGGAACTTGTAAAAGCCTCCAAAGTGGCAGTAGCATCTCATTCCACACATCCTGCCTTGGAATGGATACCGAAGTAGACTGGAAATCTTGACAAAAAAGTAACTGTTAAGGAGAGGGACAAAGAACCATGGTTTCTCCCCTTCACAAGACCAGCACTCCATTGTCCTCTTTGCTCTCCTCCCTTTGAAGGGTTCTTTCACCTCAGAAGCTTTTCAGTGTGGTACAACTAAGTTAAGAAGGCTGCAGGTTTTGGTAGCAGACTTCTTGACTTCCATGGGTCTTTAGGCTGGCAAGGCTGCATTTCAAGGTTTTTTTTTGGCAATGGTTGGGAAGAACGGGGGCTCTTTGTGCATGGAGCAACTCTCCTTCTGCTTACTCCTGAGTGTCTGCTGCAGCTGGTGGCATCAGCCAGCCAGCTCTGCCAAACCCAAAGGCCAAGGACACCCTCACATGAACTCTATCCGCATTGATGGGGACATCACCTTAGGAGGCCTCTTCCCTGTCCATGGGAGGGGCTCAGAAGGCAAGGCCTGTGGGGAACTGAAGAAAGAGAAGGGGATTCACCGGCTTGAGGCTATGCTTTTTGCTCTGGACAGAATCAACAACGATCCAGATTTACTTCCAAATATTACCTTAGGGGCTCGTATCTTGGACACCTGTTCTCGAGATACCCATGCTTTGGAGCAGTCCCTGACCTTTGTCCAGGCTCTCATTGAGAAGGATAGTACGGAGGTTCGCTGTGTTAATGGTGGGCCTCCCATCATCACCAAGCCAGAGCGTGTGGTGGGGGTGATTGGAGCATCTGGCAGCTCTGTTTCCATTATGGTGGCCAACATCTTGCGGCTCTTCAAGGTAAGACTGAGATCTACCTCTCCACTAAGTTTGAACCCCAGATCCTCTCCAGCTTTTATCTGCACAAGATAGTTTGCGTGGGAAATCCCTTCCTTCTTTTGTTCTAGCTGCTAAATAACTGCCAGTGACCCTTTTCCACTAAGATCCTTAAAATGGGAGTATCCCTCCACTTTTGTATCTCCCACGTGCAAAGAGGCAAAGCTGTTGAGTTAATTTTGAGATACAGAAGGGTGTTTCTTAGAGTGGAGATGGGTGGAGGGAATTATAGAGTTTGTTTGACAGCTGAGAGGAATATTCATGCTGCGTGTTATCCCAGAAAATGCCGTGGGAAGGAAAAGGGGTTGGGAAAATGAGCAATATTCAACCATAGCATTTCTAAACCAGCATGAGTGGAAAGGCCCTTTTGTCATGCACATGGTAATTTAAACCATGGGGGCTATAGTCATTTCAAAGGGCATATGAGAGATATCCTCTGGGCCTGGTTTACACTTCAGTGCCAGGATATCCAGAATTCTCATACTTTATCTTCCTAAATTTGATATTACAAAGGTGGCCCCCAGTTGTTTCTGATACTACAGTGTTAATAGCACACTTCTATGCAATTTTATTTCAGAATACTTCAGTATAGTTTTGCAAACATATCATGGGTGAGGGAGGAATATTTTAGAGAAGCGAAGGGGAACAAATGGCTCTCCAGATGTTGGTGAACTGTTGGATGATGGGAGTTGCAGTCTGTCCCTTGTTTTATCCCAGTAAAAAAAAAAATGCGTTTAGAATGTCAGAGAAATAAGATTACTCATTCTTGTGTGGTAGACTCCTCTCTGGAGAGAGCACACCTGATGTTGCTGGCATGTTTTTAATTCCTTTGTGAAAAAGCAGCAAATCCAATATGAAAACATGAGTGTCTGTTTGCATAATGGGAAGAAGCACTGACTAAATTTAGATCAAAGATCAGAAGTTACAGTGTTAAAGAAACATTGGTATCAAGCCTGACTGTGGATTACATTATAGCTATGCCTGTAGTATTTAACATCCTAGCCTGTTGCTCATAAAAAAACAGGATACCACCTTTTGCCCTCCTCAGTCAACAATTAGCTGGTCAAAGATGTAGCATTAAAAGGTCCTTGCTAAGGGCTGTTTTCTGCCAGTGCTTTCCTGTGCATCTTCTGTACTGCAAACTGCAAACTATTTCTAATTCCTTGTGGCATCTCTATTATGGAAGTAGCTCCTTTTGAAGTGTTTTCAGAATAGATTATTATTCTCTGTATATAGAGGAACAGTTTCTGGGAAAGGTCACGTATTACCTACTGTTACCTTGGGATTTTTCTAAGGACTGACACAGCTGTTTATAGTTTTTCTAAACCTGTAGTCAAGCATCATATGGTATGAAACACAACTCCAAATCCTGTGATTCTCATTCTGCTCTTTTAAAGAAAGGCTTTCGTAGTGGGCCTGTTCCTGATGAGGACCATTGCACGGAATGAAAGTGGTTATGTCCCCGCACTCCCTTCCCGTGTTCTAACTATGAATGAATGAATGTATGTATTATGGTCAGGTGACCAGCTCATAAAACATATTATGTAGCCAAAATATACAAAATGCAGTTTAAAAATGTACAGTCAGTTCATAAAACATATTATGTGGCCAAAATATACAAAATGCAGTTTAAAAATGTACAGTCAGTTCATAAAACATATTATGCGGTTAAAATATAGAAAATGCAATTTAAAAAAATGTACAGCCAGTTCATAAAACATACTATATAGTTAAAATATACAAAATGTAATTAAAAGTGTACAAGAAATAATTAATTGTGTACTAGTTGTAAAATATGGGGAGAATCAAATACAGCATTTTATAGCTATCCTTTGAACCATTGGATCATCTAGGGCAGTGGTTTTTAAACTTGGGTTACTCAGGTGTTTTTGGACTGCAACTCCCAGAAGCCTTCACCACCAGCTGTGCTGGCCGGGGTTTCTGGGAGTTGCAGTTCAAAAACACCTGAGTAACCCAAGGTTAAGAACCACTGGTCTAGGGCAAGCTGGACAGGGTCTTTGGGTTACAGTGAGTCCTTCCTACATATTTGTAAAGATTTGTAAATATTTCCTCCCTTCAGTTGGGACCACAACATTTCTCTACACTAGACAATAAACCACCATGCTAAACCTCATGCTAAAACCAGTTCTAACTAAAAATCTCTCTCTCCTATAAGCAGCTGGAGGAGGGGAACACAACAGTATAAGGGGATGGGATTTTCAGTGGGAAAATGGTGCAGTGAAATAAAAATAACTATTTTCCATGGCATTGTGATCCCAATCTAGATTTAAAAAACAACCATCCATGGGTGTTTCTTCTATGTTTTTCTTTTTAAAGAGGATGGATTGGTGGGAAAGAATTCAATAATTTGAGGATAAGAACTAAGAACATTCTCAAGGGCCACCCATTCCTCAGCTCTCATAAGAATTAAAGTGGTTGGGTTCATCACAGTTTGGACAGCTTGCTCTTCTGAACTGCGATTCCCATAATCCCCCAGCCAGTGCAGATTCTGTGGACTGCAGTCCAGCCAAAAAGCCTAGAACTGAAAAGAGGCTGGAGAAAACAGCCACAATTGTAGGAAGCTCCTATCAGTTGCATAACATTTCAGGTCTCAGCCATCCAGGTAGACTATGAATAACTTCACAAACAGAATATGATATTACCATGTACAAAGATGTCATGCTCTGTAGTTACTCTTTGTGTGAAAGGGGCCAGGGAAATTCACAGGTGCATTGGCAATCCTAACAAAAGCTTCCTCTGTAGCTGCAAATGTCAGAAGCTGCCCCTTTCCATCCCAGCAGGAATGAACTTTTGTGATAAGTAAAATGTTTGAGTAGTGGTACTAAAGATCATTCAGGGATCTTGCAATGACTTTTCTCTTCTACCAGGTTCCAAAAATGTGAATTTCAACCATTTTTAATGACTTGGATGGTAATACTTTTGTTGAGTGACTGTTTCAAAGGTGTCATTTTAATTAACATTGTTGCTTATGAATTCTGAAGGTTGTTGGCAAAGACATATTAAAGCATTTGCATTTCTATTAGCAGCTGTAATTCTGATATGAAAATGAGACACAGAATGGAAGCATTCTTAGCAAGTAGCCCAGCAAGTCTTTTGCATGCCCATTTGAAATTAAATGCTATTGAGTTCAGTGGAACTTACTCTGTGATAAGTATATTTCGGACAAAATCCTCTTGTCTAAAGGTGTAACTTTTAGATGCAAATTGTCATAAGTTAAGAAATCTCCTCCTTAAAGGGACATGGTGGCGCTGTGGGTTAAACTGCAGAAGTGTCTGTGCTGTAAGGTCTGTAGATCTTCAGCTGTAAGATCAAATCCACGTGATGGAGTGAGCACCCGTCACTTGTCCCAGCTCCTGCCAACCTAGTGGTTCGGAAGCATGCAAATGCGAGTAGATAAATAGGGACCACCTCAGTGGGAAGGTAACAGCATTCCGTGTCTAAGTCGCACTGGCCATGTGAGCACGGAAGATTGTCTTCTGACAAAACGCTGGTTCTACGGCTTGGAAAGGGGGATGAGCACCGCCTCCTAGAGTCAAACAAGACTGGATAAAAATTTTCAAGAGGAACCTTTACCTAAGAAATCTCCATAAGCATTATTTATTGTATGCCTGGTTGTGTGATTCATTATGTAACAGATTATGTCTATGGGTATTTCTTAACTTAATGGCAATTACGCTATTGATTTAAATGTGCAATAAGATTTCCGCCATAGAACTGCAATTTTGGGTACAATATTGTTACAATTTGATGATTCTAAATTTATGGGTTCTGGCTTATAGAAGTCTAAAGGAAAGGGTAAGAATTTCATTTCCTTTTGGTTTTGATCAATATTTACCAAAATTTACAGATTCCATCGTATTTGGAAAAGAAAGAACTTTAGATAGAAACACCCCCCCCCCCAAATTGGAGAAACCAGAATTAACAGATTTCTTCATCCAGATCCAGGGCTTTTGATGCTTAATAAAGAAACAGACTAGCTCAGCCAATTCAGGCAAGGAGACTGTTGTGCAGTGGGATAGGTGGCACGCCAGCAGAATCTCTGTTTTATCCTGCGTATCTATAGAGGCACTCAGACCCAGCAGCCTGTGGGACAGAGCTCCTGGTAAGGTGACTGAATTTCAATAGATGATTACAGCTCCTCCTCTCCACCCCCTAGGTCCGGCCTGTTGCTTTGCAGGTGGACAGAGCTGAGAAAGATAAATTCCTCAGGCTTCATCCAAACCAGGACACTGTAATACAAGCCAGCACTGGTTAGGCCTCACCTTGTGTGTTGTGTCCAGTTCTGGACACCACACTTCAAGAAGGATGCTAACAATTGGAACAAGTTCAGAGGAGGGAGACAAGGATGAAAGGAGGCTGGAAACCAAGTCTTATGAAGAAAGGTTGAAAGAATTGGGCATGTTTAGCCTTGAGAAAAGAAGACCGAGGGGTGTTTTGACAGCACTTTTCAAATATTTGAAAAGCTGTTATACAGAGGAGGGGCAGGATCTGTTCTTGATCATCCTAGAGTGCAGGACACGCAACAATGGGTTCAAGCTAAAGGAAGCCAGATTTCAATTGAATATCAGGATAAACTTCCTAACTCTTACGGCAATATGACAGTGGAACCAGTTTCCTTGGGAGCTGATGAGTGCTCTAACACTGGAGGCATTCAAGAAAAACCTAGATAATCACCTGGAAGATATGCTTTGATTGTATTCCTGCCCTGAGCAGGGGATTGGACCTGATGACCTTGTAGGCCCCTTCCAACTTCACTGTTCTCTGATTCTATTATTCTAAGCCAGGTCAGCATGTTCAGCCAGGATCAAATCCTGGATATTAGCTATCTGACCTTTCACTAATCTGGGATTTAGCAACAGCACCTTCAATCCAGTAGGGTTGCCATTAGTGCTTTCCAGGCTATTTGATTTGTGAGACAGTTGTGTGTGAGCAACCAGCACTCT